CTCAGGAGTGGCTGTCAGTTCCTGCCTCATCTGGGGCCTGTCCTCAGAGGAAATGCTCACAACCAGTGCCTTGCTGGGGATGCTCAGTGGTGCTGACAATGGCTCTGTGGTTCAGTACCAGCCTATTTGAGGTACATAGCAGCTACACTAGTAATTGGGAGTGTAATGTATTCACTCCCTGCACAGCACAACTGATGCCTTCATTTGTCACATTCCTTTCTGTGGTTTACACAGCTGTCACAGAGCGAATAAACCGATTATATTTCTTCAGCGTTGCTTCCACAAAGCTAGGCTGTGTGATGCATAAATCAGCAAACAGGATGCTTGACCGCTCTCTTAGCTTCTGTGGAGCATGTTCTGATTAGTCTGGATACAGCAGCTGAAACAGGTGTGGAGGCTGTGAGCTGGGGGTGCTCTCTCAGAGGGGGAAAAAAAGCTGTGCAACGCTGTGGGTGTGCAGCATATGGGGAGAAGTGAAATATGTTGTGATGTTAAATGAGCCTTATTCAGTGAGAGGAGATCATCCAGTTCCAGCTTCTTCTCACACCAGAACGAAGGCACACAATCATATTTTAAAATCTGGGATATCTTACAGAAACAGAAGCAATACAATATAAGGTAAAGTGAAATAAAATAAAGCATGGATTGGGAACAACAAATACACAATCCATAGGCCAGATGCAGCCTTGGAACGTAGTCTGGCTATGGATTTAGAGAAATTTGTTTTGTTGTGCCTGCTCTGCATGCTCATACCTCAGGACAGAGAGAAATGCACTCTGCCCAGCTGTTTGTTAGAAGCAATGTCTGATTGTGATGGAGCCTTCCATTAAGAGTGTTTCTGAAAACATATTGCCATCCCACTATTCTCCATGTTATGCCAGTACTTAAACATTCTTTCTCCCTTCTCTGGAGACAGTTTTCTCTCTATAAAGAAAAAAGCACCAGTGGGAAATTAGCTGATAATAATCTTACTTTACATGCTCCTTTTTCTATATCTACAGCACAACAGAAAGTGGAGTGGGCAGCTTTGCTTTCCTTTAGCAGTCTGCTGAACCGTGTTTGCCAGACATGCCAGGCTTGGTGAGTCTTGCACCCAAGGGCCAAGCAGTGCTGCTGAGCAAGCGTCTGCCCAGCCTTTCCTTTGGAGTTGCACTTTCTTTGTGAACCTTATTCACCTCCACTGGAAGATATGCTTTTGCTTAAAGCAGTGACAGCTCTGCAGAAAGCAGCGGAGTTAAAGCTAGAGACGGCTCTGCTGCGTTCAGTAAAAGCTGATCTATAATATTGAGAGGGGTGCGTCACCTTCCTGCACTGCTTGCAGTGCTGCTCTGTGGTTACTGCTAAGACTCCTGGCTCCATTAGCAGCCATGTTTGTTCTTTCTCATTTGTACTCTCACTTCACTGAAGTTCATCTGCTTGCAGGAAGTGATCAGACTTCTCAACACAGAGGTCTGATGAGATATGAGCAGGACACTCTCTAACTGTGGCAATCAGATGTAAAAATTTTTTCTGCTCAGTAAAATCCCATGGATATTGCCTAAAATCCTATAAAACCTGTGAGATGAAAAATGAGACTTCTCTGGCCTCTTCTCCCTCTCTTGTAACCACACTGGACTGGATGTGCCAGGTCTGACTCTGCTGGTTCTCATGAGGATCCCAGTTGCCCCAACTCAGTTTCTTTTGTGCTAATCCTGGATGGTCCATCTTTTTCTATTTGACTACCTGACTTCGCATTCTGCCTGCACGGAGCCTTACTCTTGAGTGCACTGTTAGCCCTATAGAAGAGAGCTGGGTTCAGCTTGCAGGATTTGATGCGGACAGGCTGGAGAGGTGCTGTGGTGAGTTGTTCCATGTGGCTCCCTGTGACTCTCCTTGGCTTCTCCAGCTGTCAGGGAAGCAATGAGGGGAGAGAAGAACCCCAGAGTGCCTTGGCCCCCTGTGCAGGGTGCAAAGATCCTGAAGGTGGGGATGGTTGCTCCTTGGCTGCTTGTACCCAGCATCCAGTACCAATGTGAGAGCTTTTGAAGTGCCCTCCCAGCAGATGAGGAGCTGGTGCTACTCTGGCTGTGGGACTGTCTGCAGGGTTAGCAGCCTCCAGTGAAGTGCTGGGATGTGCAAAGTTCTCTCAGTGGGGAAAAAAAAATCTGCGTTTTTGTGCTGAATTTTAACCATGTTTCTGATCCCCATGATAATTCTGAATTCTGCATCTTGTCTCAAAATAAGAAAGCAACAAGTTTCTCATTTAAACCAAAATATGTAAATAAAATAGAAGCTCTTGCTATGGAAAAAATGCTCGTTCATTCTCCATGATGCAATTTTTCCTGCTAAGATTAAAAGGGTTTATATATCTTCAATTCTACTCTTGAATTGCCTTTTTCAGCGTCACAAGCTATTTGTATGTATAGATGGAAGGAGGGAAGCACTGCTTGTTCTCCAAACATGTGCTCTTTCCTCTCATTCCAGGAAGTCTCAGCCATGCTTTGCATGTTAGAAACAACAGAAACAGCTCCAGATTTCCAGGAATGGTCCAGTGAGAAAGGGCTTCTTACCACCACAGGCTCTGAAGGCACTGGGCTGCTTATGATCCTGCCCATCCAGCATCCTGTGTACTGGGTTGTTTTCCCAGTGACTTGGTTGTTCTGTTTAGAACTGTAGAATCCTTAGAGTTGGAAAGGACTTCTGAAGGCCATCTAGTTCAGTTCCCCTGCAATGAACAGGGACATCCACATCTAGATCAGGTTGCCCAGAGCGGTCTCCAGGGACGAGGCATTTCATACACAGATCCTCTCATTTCCAGCCCTGAGGATTACTGCTCTGAGGCTGCACTCACCTGCCCATGTAGTATCTCTCCCAGCACATCACTACCTGGGTTTTCCCTGGATCCATGTCTTAAGAATGGCTCTCCTACCCTGTGGGCCCCATCCTTGTTGGCTCTGTGTGCTCACATCCCAAGTGCTGTGGCTGCCTGTGCCTCACATTCCCCGCTGCTCCTGGGCTCTCCCAAAGAACAGGGCAGTGGGGACTTGACTTTGCTGTGGGTGCGACTGTGTCTCACCAGGAGGAAGAAGTCCATTCATGCTCCTGCCATGTACAGAGAAATGCTAAGGACGTTTGGGAATTGCACAATAGCTCAATGAAATGACAGCCTTTTTCCTTAAAGACAGATACTGCTTTGATCAGGTGCTCGCTTGCTTTGCTTGAATAAGCCAAACTCATTCCAAGAACAAAAGGGCTGCCACTGCAATAGCCTGGCTTTTCAATTTCAAACTATCTGCAGATTACAGAATAAATGAAATATTCAGCATACACAAGTACTATACAGAATGATATGATACGGGCCATTTCACTTCCTTTCATCCTTTTCCAACTTGCTGGCTTTTATGTAATGGATAGACCTACATCAAAAGCCACACTCAAGAATAAACAAATACTTAAAGCACACATTACACATGGCATTCCTAAGCCATCTGTAAATGATACAGAATTATTCTTTGAAGAATAGAGAGGCAGAGTCTAATACACTCCTCCATGAGACCAGACCATGATGCAGTGACAGAGCAGCATTCCTGAGTGCTTGGTGTATGTGAGATACCAGCTGCCTTTGGGGCGCATCTGTATTTGACAGCACAAATAAGGACAGCCTTTGCTGCTAGGACCCCAGAACAGAGATGCATCAGATGCATCTTCCAACTCTTTTTAATCCTGCCCGTCGCTCCTGCAGTGAGGCGATGCGAGCTCCATCTCAGGCAGTTCATGGTAGCAATCTTCAGCACCACACTGCCAACTTGTCAGGCAATCTCTTGTGGTCCTCTTGTAATGTCCCTTACACCTGGGACATGCTTTCAGTCTCTGAGGGGCAACTTCACTGCCCGTCTCTGCCTGAACATCTTTTCTGCCTCTCAGGGTGTCAGCAGGCTGGGGCATTGCCTGCTATGCCCATGGGATCCTGCTGATCTCCAGCTGGGGACGTGTCACTGTGCTCTGACTGTGACCCACCCTGGCTCTGCAGGTCAGGAGCCAGACTTATATTTACAGCAGTCTTTGGGAAGAACAGATGCTCTGGTCAAAAGTGCTGTGAGAGACAATACCAGGCAGACTCTTTAAGTATGGGATATACCCTGCACATGGAAAATTGATATGCATCCAGAAGAAAACACCTGAGCTGTTTGCCCAGCCCGTGACACCAGAGGAATGCGCCCAGTGCCTTTGGGACTCAAACTTGGTCCATACCGAATATACTGAGTCTGATTAGTAGCTCATCAGGCTGGAGCCTGATATCTTCCATTCATATCTTCTGGCTCATTAAGTCCAGACAGTCACTGACTGCAGCTGTGACCCTTCTCTGCTTTTATTCCTATGGGAATCTCTTTCTCAGAGTTGAGATTTCAGCATTATATGCCAAACTTCATTGTCAGTAAGGCCTGTACAGTAATGCTCATGTTCTCTTAACCTATGAGTTCTCCCTTATATACGCTCATTTCAGCCATTTATAGTTACTATTCATGATTCAGCAGTTTTCTGTTATTTCAGGTTCTCCATGCCACTCATGCTGTTTTCCAAACTAAAGTCACTGCTGCTTTTGGACCAGAGATTACGTTACATATCCTGCAGCCAGTCCACACTGCCATTTGAGCCACCCATTCCCCATCTGTTCTAGACATTTCTCTCAATGTCACAATTGCCAATATGAGAAAGGTTTCTCTTCATACATGCACCTGCCTTGCTCCACAGCCAAGTGTCACCACTGCCCACCCTACACCTCCTGGACAGATTTCCAGTGCTGGTCTTTAGTAGAGATGGAAGGGCTCCTGTGCCACCCTGCTGGGACTTCTTGTGTACAGAGATAACAGAAGAAGCAAGCAGAATCTCAGCACCACAGGGAGATGTGTGACAGCATTACAGCACAGCAAAACCTTTAGTGTTTTATTACAATATTTCAAATGAGAAACAAATGAGAAACACTTCTCCCAGTGGGAAGTGGGAGGGGTTACGCACTGGCACATGGTGGCTCCCTGGTGCACGTCCTTGCCACCAAAGCTAAGCTGATCTTTCTGTTCCCCCAGAGGTTGTCCCCAAAATGCCCCTTGCACATTGGTATCAGCTCTCTTTTCAGCATCAAAGTGCAAATGAGTCAGCCAGGCTCTTTCTAGGAACTCCCATCTCTCTTCTCACGTCTTAACCAAGTTGAATTGCAGTTCTGATCTTGTTTCAGTGCCCATAAAATTGCAATGAAATATTGTTAAGGTGTCTGAAATAGAGTTTTATTTTGCTTTCAGAGGGTACTTTGGAATATTTTTCTTTATTTTATCTTTGTCCTTCTTTGTAAGTAGTTGAATGGCAGCTTTACTTGTCTCCTGTGATGCTTTGCAATGGCAAGTGACCCTGTGAAGTGATTTTCTCAGAATTGTTATCCTGCATGGTACATAGCACACAGTTTGTGCCCAGCACCTCCTCCTACTCATGCCATCTTCTTTTAGTGCTAGCAGGTCAGATTGCATCCTGAGCATTACACATTGTCTGTTGTGTTCTTTCCACCCAAGGTACCTGCTCTCATCTCTGATTTCAGGACCTCAGGTCCTCCATTCTCCCCTGTTCCTGATGTTTTCTCAGCAGCACAACCATTTCCATGTTTCTTACAGCCAGCATCCTCTCTCTAAATGTTGGTCAACAGTATCTATCATCCATTCAACTGCTGTTCTCAGGAAGAGCATTGTGCATTTCTGGCCACTTCACATCATTTATCTTCCAATGTTCTAGGTCTCATTGCTAAATTCTTATTCATTCTTTCTACCTTTGTATGAAAGTGAACATACTGATTATAGCTTCTCTCTGCTTTTTCCTTTCCTTTCTCCAGCATTAATTTCATTTCTGCTTTCTACTCTCAATCCCAGAGGCAAATGCAGGGAGGATGCACCTTTCTGTGAACACACTCATGACTATCCTCAGTCTTGCCCTGTACCAGTCTCAAATCTTTTATTTCTTTTCCTTTTCTCATTGCATCTTTACATTACTTCCTTAAGAGGATGCTGGTCACCCAGGTCTCCTCATTGCACCTTCACACTCCATCTGCATTCCTTGCTCTGTGCTAGCTGGCATCTGGCATTATCAGTCCTTCCAGTTTTACTCCTTGTAGTCAGTCCTCCTCTTTATTGGTTATGGCCTCTAATGGGTCACTCAGTCTGCAGTGATTTATGGTATCTCTCTCCATAAAACATTGTGGAAGTGGCACATAACTCCGTAGGCAATCCTATTCATCAGAGCAGATTCAAAGTAATCACCTATTTATCTCCTGTTCAATAGACTTACTACAGCACTCATTATGAATTCATTTAAACTGATGTATTGTGTCCCATTATGCACTAATGGTGATGAGAAACATGACAAAACAAATGCCATTTTAAAATTGGGAAATGAATCTGTGCAGCAAGATGTATTACCACAGCTACTGACAGATTCTTACTCTTGGGGTCTTCTGCAGCACACACTTTGTTGTCTCCTCATACCTGGGCTATACCCTGCTATGATGCCTCTGGCAGAATCAAATCCCTTCCCCCCCCCCATATGGCTGCCAACACACGGTGAGGCTGCACCACTCCCCCCTCCCTGCAGCACACCTCTCAGCACAGTCCCTCTGCACAGCTCCCATCGTTGCAGTGCCTCTCCCACAGTCCCAGAGCACTGGCACAGCCTGGATCCATGGTGCTGGGCTGGGAATTGCCCAACGACTGCGACCGTGCTGAGTGCACTGACTGTGCTGCACTGCGCCATGCAGCCCTGCTGTAGCTCTGAATGTTCTTCAGGCCTCTTTCATGTTTGTACGTTCAGGAGAATGAACTTTGCAGGGCTGTTGAATCCTTTTCCACAGGACTTGAAGCAATACTCATGTTGCTGTGATGCCTCAGAGCACCAAGGGAAGAACCTTGGCTTTAAACAAAAAGAACCAAGTTCTGGGCTCCTATTAGCTGGCGATTGGGGCCAGGTGCAGTGAGCAGCCAAGGGCCACTGTCAGGCAGTGGAGCTGAGTTTTCACCAACACACTGCTTGCCCCTGCCCCGAGCTCTGGAGGCAGCAGAAGTGGCTGGGGCATGGTGGGGGGGAGCAGGAGGGAGCTGCTCTCCTAATCCTATCAGAATTTGAATCTTGAGCAATTCCTTAATGGTTTCGTACAGAAGCAGGCTGTGATAACAAGAGAGCACAAAGAATGTCAGACAAATGCTTTGTGTCACTGAGGGAAAGGAGATTTTAAAATATTCACCCTATGCTGAGCCATTCAGCACAGCCCTGGGGCAGATGGTGCAGTGGGCTTCTTTCCTGAAGACTGCCATAAACTTTGCAACACAGTGCCTTATTGCATCACTTACTGCATCTCAGCCCCTCCATGCAGGGCTCTGTTGCAGGCAGTGCTCTACTGGGGCTGCTGTTTCCCTCAGCAAAAGCACGCTTAGAATCATCATATCACAGAATCATTAAGACTGGAAAAAGTCTCAGATCAGCAGGTCCAAATGCCAACCCATCTTCACCACATGCACTGAATCATGTCTCTTAGTGCCACATCTCCAGTTCTGGAATACCTTTTAGGGAGGATGATTCCACCACCTCCCTGGTCAGCCTGTTCCAAAGCGACTACTTTTTTTGGAGAAGAAATTTTTCTTAATATCCATTCTGACCCTCCTCTGGCACAACTTGAAGCCGTTACCTCTCATGCTATCACTAGTTACCTGCTTCTCCCAGATAGTTTCCCTAAAGCAGTGGTACAGATGGTGGGGTGCTATGATGAGGCACGTGTGACCCTCCCTTCCCCCCCCAGTCATATCTAGGCTGTAAGAACAGATGTGGAGGTTGTTGTTGTACCTGTGATGATGGCTCTGACTCTGGATGTCCCACCACTCGCTGCATGCAGCATCTCCTCCCCAAACTTCCGACTTTTAAGGGCTTCGGTTCCAGTGGAAAGCTCTCTCAGAGGTCTCAGTGAGGAGCAGGTTGGACACAGTCCCAGAATGGCACCACCAACGTTCTCACGAGTATCCAGTCAGAATTCATCCTGAAGTGAGATCACAGAGATGATGCAAAGCAATCAGACAAAAAACATAACCACAAATAGCTGTCAGTTTTTTAGAACAGAGCTTCCTTTGCCTCAGAATCACAAAAGGATTGCTTTACATGTGCATGTGGCCTTGTAAATCTCCAGTGTCTTGGAGGTGTGTGTTTAAAACTGCACAAGCAACGCAAGGCTCAGTGTCAGCATTCACTTACATTAAATCCACCTTTGGACAAATCCATGCAGCACACAGCCTCCCCAGCTGGAATTGTCTCCATAGAGCCTGTTCTGAGCTGCTGTGTCCCCACCTGGAGCAGGATCCTGTGCTTAGCCCTACAAAGGGCTGTCCCCTCTGTTCACAGTACTTTATCATAAAGCCCAGTGACCCATCCGTACAATCAATCAGGGTACAAAGGTTAGGCTTAGCAAGATTACCACAATGGAAAGATAATCAAAAGAAATGGAAATACTCACCAATGCTGTAAGCTTGCAGTAAACTCCACAAGGAGCAATCTCCAGAAAGAGGCACTGCCCCAGTGGCAGTCAGCCCTTAAGTGGGATGTAGGAGAGGTGCAGCCACCCTTTCTGGTAGCAAGGAGAATTGCTTTCACCTGTGCTACTGTGGCTGACTCAGTGCTCACTCAGGTGGTCCATCAGAGGTTCAAGCTGTGATCAGCAGTTCCCATACACCCGTCCAAGCCTACTTCTCCAGCCCAACATGCCTGTGTGGTACAGACGTGTGCTCCTCATGGCCGTTTGCAGAGGTTTGCTCTGAGCCCTCAGCTCCAAATGCGAACAATGACAAGTCATCAACATGTCTGTTATTATGGAATTCTTTGCTGGCAACAGTTGTCCTGTGTTGTACAATTAAAACCAATGCAATGTCTGGAGCATTGTTTAATAGAAATTATCAGTGCTGCACTTGCACACCTGAGCTAATCAATCACTGCAGGAATGCCAGTGCTGGCCACTTGCTGGAAAGCCACCTGTGTCCATCAGGGCACCAAAATGTTGGGCACCCACTTATTGTGGGTTCATTAACAGAACTTCATGAAGAAATCTCATTTTCATATATGCCAGTCATCTAATAAATGTTGTAGAGCTGTTTCTTAATCTAAGCTTTTTATTTTATTTTTGATTACTCTATAGAAAGTAGTTTGGGAATGTAATAAAAACAATGTAATAGTAATTTAAGAAATGAAAATGATAATATAGTGTTCCTGACTTGCCTTAAAAAAAACCCCAAATTAAAGAAATAATTTAAAAGTGCAGAAGAAAAAGTGCATCCTAGAAAGCCCATGTGTGCTTTGCAATGGGGCCTTGTTGGTTCCTGGCTGCGCCCCTCAGCCCCAGGCAGCCCCGTACTGTGGTGCTGCCCAGAGGTGTTCTGCCATCCACTGCCTGCATCTCATTGCATGCGGAGATCACCTGAGCACTGGGAATCTACAACCCTCTGCATCGTTATTTTATTTGTGAAATGTTTCCAAGAAGCTTCAAACAGATTAAATTGGGCCTGCCTGGAGGGCGGCTCTGAGCACTGTGGGGGGCTCCAGGCTCAGCTTCACGTCCCCAGGCTGAGCCACAAATCTGGGGTCCCTCCCACAGCCACCAATACTTACTGATGTCTTGTGAAAGAGAACACCTCTTCCCATTTTGAACTCTGGATGAGAATTTCATCATAGGGAAGCATCTTCCGAACAGACATTCTCACAAGCTCATTTCTGGCTCTGTTTGCAGCAAGGCTTTACGGTCTGCCCTTCCAGCAGTATTCCCATCTTGGTCAGTGGCTTTTTGCCAAGTTGGTTAATCATTTCTGTTAACTTCCTTCGAGCCTGAACAATTTTAGCTCCTCCGAATCCCTTGTTATTCCTTATTGAGACACTAGCTACTACTGGTGAAAGATGACTGATTGCAATAGCTGTGGGCAGAGCTCATGCTGATTAATAAACCACTTGAAAACAATATGCTTTTTAGCCATTACAGTTATTAATAGTATGTTTGCTTCCTTTCTTGGGACATTCAACACTCAGGGAATTAGCCAATCTGGAGAATGAATCTTTTAGCTCATAGTGGACACCAAACTCAATCTCCCTGGCTGGAATGAGGCTATACAGTCATTTTCAAGACTCCACAGAGTTTGGCATTGTAGTAGAAACTGAATAGCTTGAAGTATTTCTTTGACTGCCTTCAGCAAGATGAGCTGCTAAGATGAGAAGCTGGTGGAGCCAGTAAGTGGGTGACCTGGAAGATTCTGCACTAACTCTGACGGCCCCTACAGCAGCGTGCCTACTCACTGTGCTGAAAGCCAAGGGTAGATCTTTTCTTGGGTGCTGCTATTTCCTAGGGTTAATAGACCCTCTTTCTGTGCCTACAATTCCATATGCAAATCCTTTCAATATACAAATATCACGTGGAAGAACAATATGGATTTGAAAAGCTTTCTTTCCCACTGCAGTGAATACAATTTTGCTTTACATTTGTGCCAGTAGCATGTTGTTTTGCTGTTGATCTACATTGAAAACTGATAGAAATTTTGCATGCATTGTGTTCAAATTATCCTACACCTCATTTAAAGCATGCAAAGGGAAAGGGAAACACTTTGGTACAGAAGTGCTGCTGCTGCTTCCCAGGCCTCCAACAGTGCTGCAAAGGACACTGCTGTCACACTGAGCCTTGCCTATGGGAGCCTGGTCAGAGACAGTAGGTGTTTCTAAATGAAATCTCCATGCTGCCTGATTTTGATGGGTCCTTTACCTTGTAAAACCGGGAATTATTAATTAATAGTTATGCTTTGTTTATGAGTTAACGGGTAACTGGGTTGGGTAAGATTTCAAACTGTCCCTGGATGATCTACTCATTCACACTGGGAGTAACTGTCATGCAGTGCTATTAAGCAACACAGAGCAGAACTCACACGTAGGATATTCTTTCTTTCTCTCTTCTTCACTTTTCCTTTTTCTCCCTTTTTATTCTCTCCCTCTGTGCATTGTATCATAGACTGATGAGTAAGACTGTACTTCAGCCTCTCTAGAGGAAGGTGGTTTGTGGTAAGAAGGAGCCCAGCAGCCTCTGGTGTCAATACTGCCCAACTACCAAAGCTAGTTCATGTGTAGGAAGAAAACAAGTGCCTCTGGCATAGACATGGTCTTGCAATGCAGAGCAGTGTCCACAATGAAATGGTTGTCTGGGATTGAATGGCACCGTGCCTGTAGCATGAACCCAGTCTAGGTCTAACCTGGCATAAAAGTCTACAGCAATTAAACAAGCAGCTGTTCATTTTGGTCTTTTAAAGAATTTCATCATAATCTGACACTGTGACCCTTAGCAGGAAACTCAATAAGTGAAAATAGTGAAGTAATGCTTGATTTGATCTGATTTTTTTTCTGCTGATTGCTGTGAATATCACTATGCATTTCAAATACCTATATTTGAATTGCATTCATCTGCAGAGTGTGTGTGCATCTTTTTAAAAATCGAGCAGCAAAATAATGTCTGCCTGGCATTTAATAATGGCAGATACAACAATAAATATTCATTTAAATGGGATGACTGTTTTATCTGCTGTTCTGTCCATCAAAATCTGAACCAAAAACCATGATGATATGCACATTCCATACAATCACCATAAAAGAGAATTGTACAACAAAATATTCATCAGAAATCACTGTAAGTAAATGATGACTCTCTTCAGAAAAATCAGGAACATTCTGAGCTATAGTCACTGTCTAGAAATGAGGAATAGAATGAGGTGAAATGAAGCAAACCAAGAGATCACTCGTGGAAGTATTAAAATATTACAGCTACAGGCTTCTAAATGAAACTGGTTAAATCCTAGAATTAGAGATGCTTATATGGCAGAAACACATTTTGTTAGATTGTGGGTGACATGCAAGCCTGATTTCCTTCAGTTCTTGTATAGGAAGCATCACTGGATTCAAAAGATCTAGGTGTGGTTCTCAATCATACTTCCATTTTACAGATACATTTTCAGATCAAGAATACTCACAGTGTCCTGTGAGAAATAAGCAGCTACACAGCACTGTATATGTGTGTGTACAACAACTGATGCATACGTACTTACTATGCACATGGCAGTCCATGCCAGAGGGTTGGAATTAGATGATCTTGAAAGGTCTCTTCATATCCAAACTGTTCTGTGATTCTATGATATATTCTAAATGTGTAAATACAAAATAATTTAATGTTTATATAACACAGGTGTAATATATACGTATATTTAAGAACGGCTTCCTTGGGCTCTGGCACAGTGCCTGGCCACCCTCTCACCAACAGCATCTCCTGCATGCTCAGAATGCACCTCCCTTCAGCCGTGCCCTCTGTCTCTTCTCTGTCCCTCCATGTCCATCTGCCAAGGGCCTGGCAGCCCAGAGGGCAGCTGGAGGGAGGGTTAAAATGCCCATTCTGCACTTCTCACCCAGCTGCCAGCACTCATTCACACAGCCTTGCTTCTCTCCACCCAGTGCCCATCATGCCTTGGTTTCTAAGTGCTTCAAATTAGGAGCTTTTGGAAAACACAAAGGGTAAAATGTTGAAAATATGTAATGATAGTTGGCTATAGAGCTCCAATTCAGCCTTTTGTGTGTTTCCATGATACCCGGATTTTGTAAGGTAAAGGACGATTTGCAGTTTCCCTGGCAGCTTACTGGCAGTTTGTGCTCATGGCCAGCACGCGCCACAAAGATCTCTCCACCTGCTTGTCGTATCCTTACAGACATCATTTAAAGGATGAACTGTACTGGAAAAGTTTCATTCTGTGTACGTTGCATTATTCACCAAAAAAACATTATTTCCATACACTTCAATTAGTACAGTAGCTGTCCACAAATAATAAAAATGATTCAGTGAAACTTCAATGTATTTTGCCATGAAATTTTCCATAGCTTTTCACTTAATACACAGTTCCACAATTCCACAGTTCCACAGTTCTCTTTCTCTCTGCCTTTTTTAGACTCTCCTTCAACAATCACTTGTAGCTGGTGATATGTTTCCATTGAAAACCATATTGTGATACAAAGCAGTGTGACAGCTGCAATTTTACACAACCAGATATCAGCTGAGGAAATTGCAAGGAGCATTTCCCTGAAACTGCGATTTCAAGAACAAATCAATTACCTCAGTGAAGCTGCTGCTCAGAAATTAAACAACCCTTTTTATCCTCAAGTAAAGTTCAGATCTGAGAGACTCATGCTGAGACTCACTTGGAGTTAGCAGAAAATCTTTGTTCTCGGGCAATTGCAAGGAAGGGAGGTTGTAATCCCACACATGACAGGGGAGGTTTGGGTTGGATATGAGGAGGAAGTTTTTCAGCCAGAGGGTGGTGAGGCACTGGCACAGGTTGCCCAAGGAGGCTGTGGATGCCCCATCCCTGCAGGCATTCAAGGCCAGGCTGGATGTGGCTCTGGGCAGCCTGGGCTGCTGGTTGGCGACCTGCACACAGCAGGGGTTGGAGCTGGATGAGCACTGTGCTCCTGTGCAACCCAGGCCATGCTGGGATTCTTTGATTCTCTATTGATAAGAAAAGCTAAT